AGACGGATGTTTGAATATATGCATCTTTGTTAGCAAAGGAAACTGTAGTTTGTGTTTATTTAGAAATATGGACGTTGTTCTTGTAGATTGACCCTGAGGTTCTGGAGCCTTTCCACGTTTGGCCCCCCCTCAGTATACACTGGTTATTGTCTGGCCACCCTTTTAAAAATGTTCTAGCTCCGCTTCTGCATGTAGGAACTGTTTCAGTATCTACTGTTGGACATTAGTAGCTGCCAATAGACTGATTTCATTGTTTAATAGTTGCTCCAATCAGAGACTCAGAGAACTTTCTTGTCCTCCAGTCAGCAGGTATAGTGAGAAGCTACGCCATGAGATGAGCAGAGACACCTGCTTCATCATGTCCTACGGTCAGCAGGACGAGACGCGGCTGGAGGAGCTCTACACGGACACGGTGATGGAGATGATCAATGACTGTAACGAGAGTCTGGGCTTCTTGGAGAGTCTGGACCAGCTGCTGGGAGACGACGGCGTTTTTAACCCCCAAGGGGAAATCATCTATGTGGTGGGGGACGCTGGCGTTGGAAAGTCCATCCTTCTGCAGAAGCTCCAGAACCTCTGGTCCAAAAAGGAGCTGCAGACAGACGCCAGCTTCTTTTTCAAGTTTCGCTGCCGGATGTTCAGCATCTTCAGGGAGGCAGAGCAGATGTCCCTCAGAGACCTGCTGTTCAAATACAACTGTTACCCGGATCACGATCCAGAGAACGAAGTCTTCGATTACATCCTGCGCTTCCCTGAGAAGGTTCTGTTCACCTTTGACGGCTACGATGAAATTCAGGAGGACCTGGACCTGATTAATGTTCCTGAGGTCGTATCTCCGGAGGACAAAGCAGACGCCCTTCAGTTGCTCCTCAGCTTGCTCAGTGGAAAACTGCTCAAAGGCTCCAAGAAGGTCCTGACGACTCGCACTGGGATCGAGATGCAGAGTCGAGTCATCAGGAAGAAAGTGGTTCTGCGTGGATTTTCTCCAGACCACCTGAAGACGTACATCAAGCTGCACTTCAGGGAGCAGGAGCACCGAGAGCTGGTGTCCGTCCAGCTGGACGCCAGCCCCCACCTCTGTGGTCTGTGCTCCACCCCCCTGTTCTCCTGGATCGTCTTCAAAAGCTTCAGACACCTGCACACCATGCATGACGTCTTCCACCTGTCTGAGAACAGCATCACACTAACAGACATCTTTCTCCTGCTGTCGGAGGTCTTCCTCAGCCGCCTGGCCGCCGCTCCTTCTCCTCTGCTAAAGAAAAGCACCCGCTGCATCTCAGAGACCTTCAGGGTGGGGCTCAGGCCCCTGGCTGCCTTTGCTAAGCTTGCCCTGCAGGGTCTGGAGAGAGGAAGCTTTCTGTGCAGCCGGGAGCAGCTGGCTGAGTGCGGTCTAACCGAAGACGACATGGCTCTGGGCTTCCTCAGACCCGTCCATGACTTTGACGCCAGTGAAGCTCCCGCTACCTTCGAGTTCATCCACATTACGCTCCAGTCCTTCTTGGCTGCCTTTGCTCTAGTGTTGGACGAGCAGACCTCGGCCAGCTCCATCCTTAAGTTCTTTGCAGAGTGCAGCAGGCGGAGGGAGACGTTCTGTCTGCCGTTAGCATCCTGCATCGGCAGCTCAATGAAGCCCAGCGAGAAGAAGCCGTTCTCGACCAACGAGCAACTGCAGTTCACCAACCTGTTCCTGTGTGGCTTGCTGTCAAAGACTCAGGCTGCTCTCATGGGAACTCTGCTCTCTCCCGTTCTGTTAAAGAGAAAAAGGGCCCTGCTGAAGGCCTACCTGTCCACCAGTGTGAAGGTCCACCTGGAGGGCTTACCCCATTATAACGGTGAGGAAGGCCAGAAAGTTCACGTCCTGCCAAACTTCCTTTGGATTCTACGGTGCATCTTTGAGACGGGGAGCAAAGACATCGCTAAAATGACGGCCAAAGGCATCACGGCCAACTTCATCAAGCTTGGCTACTGTAACGTCTTCTCAGGGGACTGCACTGCCATCAACTTTGTGCTGCAGCACCGGCAGAAGCTGCTGGGTCTGGACATGGACAACAACAACATCAGTGACTATGGGGTCAAGCAGCTGCAGCCTTCGTTTTCTAAGATGACGGCAGTGAAGTAAGAAGGGTGTTTGATCTCTATATCTTTCAGTGTTCCTTATTATTGATTAGATCATCAAACATCTGAAGTAGAGGCCAAGCAGACTGGTCTCCACCACTAGGAACCAACAGGATGTTAGCCTGTCTGTTTTCCATCACCTTCCTGGTGTCCTTCAGTCTCAGTTTAACAGTTTTCTGAATCCTTTCCATTCTTCTCAATTATAGGCGCTTCTGCTAAGTATCCGTCCTCAGGACCCTCTGTCCTCATCTCTTACGTCATAAACATCCTAGAAGGGTTTCTGCTTCAGGACACCTGTGTCAAATTATGTCATTTCCTCCTAAGCAGCCACCAATGGCTGCAGAAACCCGGTAATCACCCAGTTATGTAAGTCCAGTGGGTCAAATAGGTCCAGTGGGTCAAATAGGTCCAGTGGTCAAATAGGTCCAGTGTGTCCAGTAAGTCCAGTGGGTCCAATAGGTCGAGTGGGTCCAATAGGTCCAGTGGATCCAATAGGTCCTGTGGTCACATAGGTCCAGTGGGTCCAATAGGTCCAGTGGTCAAATAGGTCCAGTGGGTCCAATAGGTCCAGTAGGTCAAATACGTCCAGTGGGTCCAATAGGTCCAGTGGTCAAATAGGTCCATTGGGTCCAATAGATGCAGTAAGTTCAATAGCTCCAACGTGTCCAATAGGTCCAGTGGGTCCAAGGGGTCCAGTGGTCAAATAGGTCCAGTAGGTTAAATAAGTCGTGGATCCAATAGGTCCAGTGTGTTCAATGGGTCCAGTGGTCAAATAGGTCCAGTGAGTCTAATTTGTCCTGTTTTCAAATGGGTCCAGTGGGTCGTGCAGAGGACAGTAAGGAGGTGGCAGAAACTAAATATAGTCAGTGTCGCCTGAGCAGAGCTGAATATCAGATAATTTCCCTTTTTATTGACAAACATCTAGATTAGATTAGATTAGATTAGATTAGATGAGCTTTATTGATCTCACAGTGGAGAAATTCACTCGTCACATATTGGCATAGAAGTTACTGAAGGTGCAAACAAGGAGGAAAAAGGTGCATTAAGAATAAGCAATATATATATACAGTATATCAAGATAAATAGGATTAAGGTGCAAGTGTACATGTATCACACACAATGAAAAACAAATGAAAATGAGAAATAAAAAAATAAGAAATAAAAATATGTACAATCCGGATGGCTTATATACAGGTCTGAGCTGAAATCTGAACCAAAGGAGACTTATTGTGGACTACGACCTCCCTCTCTGTCTCACAGGAGGACACGATTGAGGCATTACCACATTCATTAAAAGATTAATTTAATAATAGATGTGTTTATTTGGAGTTACAGGAGAGGTTATGAGAAAAAAATGAAATGCTAATAATTGGATCAAAGGAGCATTAGGTAATGTCGTTAAAAATATTTATAAAATATACTAGAATATACTAATATTCTTTTATCCTATGAACAAAAGTGAAAAAATAAAGTTATAAGATGGATGAATATAAAGAGGAAAGATACATTCCTGTTGATGCAAATCTGTGAAACATAATCCTCTTTGAGTGGAGAGAGGAACTAAACTCTGATGTGGCGTCACATCTAGAAAGATGAATCTGGTCATCAGAATATGATCTGCATAGTGACGCAGAAAACGTTGGAACACGCTGTCAGCCATTCAAAGGTCTGATCTGCCCAAACATGTTTGCATCTGTTTTAAGACACACAGCCTTCTGAAGTTCAGGCGTTCCAGCGGCTTCCAGTGTCGATCTGACGTGTTTTCCACGCAGATAGCTGACTGTGGTTTGGGTTAGACCTGTGGCTCCGCCCACAGGCCAACAGTCTGTTTCTCTTTTTCAGGATGTGAAGAAAGAGGAAAAAGTTCAGTCTAAGTGGTGAATCTGCTCCAAAAACCATAAACTTAAATTTTTAAATCTAGACTCAGACTTGAGCTTTAAAGGCATGGAGGCCGTCAGCATGTTCTTCATCCTGAGAAAGAGATTTCACCTTTATCTGCTATCATCATTATTTCTACATCACAGGGTTTACCAGCAGCTGTGGGATCAAACTCATCAAACCCTGCCTTCATTAGATTACAATATTCCACTTCCTCTTAAACGTTACACAACTGAAGTCAGAATAAACAGCAAAACATTTCTGAAGTGGAGGAAGTACCCTCAGCTTCAGTCTGCCCCTTTATTGCGTTTTTATGTGAAAACAGAAGCAGGAAGTAGGCCTGAAAGTCCCCAGATGTCCCCAAACTGGAGTCACTGAGGCCCTGCATCCTTCAGGTGCGTCTCTGCTTCAGATTCATCCTGTTCTAGAACTCGATGGCATTCTGAGGCGTTTTATTCATCCTGTTCTAGAACTCGATGGCGCTCTGAGGCGGTTTATTCATCCTGTTCTAGAACTCGATGGCGTTCTGAGGCGGATTATTCATCCTGTTCTAGAACTCGATGGCGCTCTGATG